GAGTCCTAGACCAATCCAAACTCCAACCCTTATCCGGATGTGTTCTCTTCTTATAAGGAGACATCTTCTCCTTATCCCATATGCAATCTTTTCGATCAGGTCAGAAGATATTGCTGCTTGATCCCCAAGGACTTATCTTCTTCACGTGCATCTCATGTGCATGGGCCATAACAATTGTGTCTCCTAAGATGGACCTGGTCCTTTACTGAGTTCATTTGTCATTCTTCAAAACTTCAACTGATCTTGGGCCAACACTTTCTTCTCTATTTGTTTCTTTGAAACTGGTATGTCCTAAGTTAAGCTTCAGCTCATCACAATGTGTTTATTTACAGCTTTTGTATCCACGTCTACTTTACTGCTGCTGCAGAGTTAAATATTTAAACTAGCATGTTGATTCCGTTCTGTTTGTTTGTAATGAATCCCTACCCCCTATTACCCCTATGTGTTTTGAGTTATGACTTGAGGCATGGCAATAAAAGTTGTTGTCCATGAATTAAGTTTGATCCATGGGGATCTTAACCTCTAAACAATATGTGTTAACAGGCCTAAGGGTGTGCCAGCATCTCCCATTGCTGGGTATGCCCACCAGCCTGCTTTTGCCTCTTGCAACTCCCTCATTCCCCTATACCCTTATGTGTACTGATTTAAGTTGTTTTCCCTTTTCCCTTTCCCCTTTCAGAATTCTGCTTCTGCACTTGCACTCTCTCTTAGTCCTTAAGTTCTGCCCCCCCCCCCCCTCTTGTGAGCCTTGCCTTGGAACCTTGAGTTCCCTCTGAACTTGGACACCTGAAGGCTGGCCCTTCCACACTGCACTATGTCTTAATCTGGTGATACGTTTGGGTGTAAGCACTGCCCGGAGTTCATATGAGACTCTTAGGGAACTTTGACACACCCCAAATGAGAGAAAGGCTTTGAAACATTGATCTGTTGGAGTTGGTTTACTTCATACTTCAGACAGGAAGCCTGAATCAGGCTCTCCTTGGTTGTACATTTTTAATTTCTGATGTATTTTCTTTTATCTTCATTCTGGGTTGTAATAATTTTGTAATAAACTCCTGGGGATGGCTAGTGAAAAAGGGAAGGGATAACCATGTATGCAAAGGGTAGATAACATGTCTTTACGAATCCTGCCTTTTCTCATATATAGATACCATGTCTATAGGAGTTTCTGAATTTCTGCATTTTCTCATATATAGATATCATGTTTATAGGAGTTTCTGAATTTCTGCATTCTCTCATATATAGATAACATGTCTTTAGGAATCCTGCATTCTCTCATATAGATGCCATGTCTACAGTTATTCGAAATCAAAATTCTGCATATGCATATAGAAAATATGCCTATAGGTCTTTCTGAATATTGTATATCCATTCTTCATTAGGCAATCATATTTATAGATCTTAATCAGTCAATTGCAATTAGATATCATGTTCATAGGCTTTAAATAAAATTCAGCACCTAGATATCATGTTTATAAGGTTTCTGCATTTTACCATGTCTATAAAAGGGTTTAAAGTCAACAATGCATAGAAAGCATGCCTATAGGAGCTTTAACTAAATCTGAATCGCCTCACTCGCTTATAAGTCTAAAACCAGTAATAATGCCTTACCAGTTGCAAAACTTATGATCTTTTGCTAAAACTCGCTTTTCTTTAATAACTGACAACTTTTTCTTAAATCAGTATGTATTCGTCCAACACTTAGGCAAGCCTTAGGGTAAAATTATAAACTGAATCAGATTTTATTAGCTACAACTAACAGGTAGGCCTGCTTCGGGCTTCTTATCTGAACTATGTAATAAATCAGTCTGCCTCAACCCTTTAAGTTTTAACTAGACCCTAAACATTATGTGTAAGTCATGCTAATCACTTGCTTTCTCTGTTTAAAGGAGGTGTATTTGAGCCTTTTTATCTGCTTATATGCTTTCCCCAAACTTGCTATATGTGTTTTTGCCTGTCTCCTTAGTATTTTACCTTTTGAAACCACAAATAAGCCAATATCTCCTCCCTTTAGGATTAGTAGTCCCAAGTACCTCCGGGGCTGATAGGATTGGGGCGGGTAATAGAATGCAATAAGTAAATGAGACCATTCCGCGCTTTAATACCTTAACGGGGTGGGAAAGGGTAGATATGGATATGATGACCACGCGATAACATCACGTGTAGCCCCTCATTGAGGAGTGATTACCGGATGTTGTGTGGGGTGATCCATATTATTAATAAACATAGGACCCCCTTTCCCTTTGTTCTTTGTTTCTTTTAAATCCTTTAAAACCATTTCTTCTAAGCAAATCAACTCTCTTTAGTGCTTTCCGACTTTGTTTATTTGTGTCCATTACATGAAAATCCCCTCTTATTTAAAACTCTTACTTGCCTATGTGTTATTTGTATTTAAGTCACAACAATAGTTTGGTCGGGAACCACACTAGTGGATCCTGAGGGGTGCCTAACACCTCCCCTTGGGATAATTTCAAACTCTTACCCAATCTCTGGTTACTTGACTCAAACCCTTCTTAGTGTCCTAATGCACTTAAATCATTAGGTGGCGACTCTTCAATCCAAAATCCAATTCCCAAAAGGGAACGAGTTGTCTTCCCAAATATCATAAACCCGATTTTGCGAGAAAAAGGGGGCGCGACACTACCCAGAACTTCCGCATCTACGGTCCATAAGTCGCTCCTGCGACGCTGCACAGGTACGGTTTTCGCTTAAACTTTGAAAACCACTTCTGCGGTCAAAACCCCGCATCTACGATCATGCAGGTGCGGTCCCATGCGCGCACCTGTGGCTCCTGCCCTTCTCACCTATGGCCGCATTTGCGGCTGCTTATGCGCTTCTGCAGGCCTCGCACCTGCGGTCCCCACTCTGCAGGTGCAGTTATGACAACTGAAGGCAATCTTCAGCACTTCCTCAAATCTCATCCTTGATCCGTCAACCTCCCGAGATCATCCCGAGGCCCTCGGACCTCAACCAAACATGCCAACAAGTCACATATCACCATTCAAACTTATTCAAACCTTCGGAACACTCAAAACAACATCAAAATACCAAATCGCCCTCGGATTCAAACCTAAGGATTTCCAAACTTTCGAATTCCGCAGACGATGTCGAGCCTATCAAACCTCACCCGAATGACCTGAAATTTTGTACACACGTCACAAATAAAAAAACGGGCGTACTTCAATTTTCGAAATTCCATTCCGACCCCGATATCAAGATTTCCACTGCCGACCGGAGAACGCCAAATTTCCAATTTCGCCAATTCAAGCCTAAATCTACCACGAACCTCCAAATTACATTCCGAACATGCTCCTAAGTCCAAAATCACCTAACGAAGCTATCCGAACCATCAGAATTCACATCCGAGATCTTCTACACATAAGTCAACATCCGGTTGACTTTTTCAACTTAAGCTTCTAAATAAGAGACTAAGTGTCTCATTCCACTCCAAGACCACTCCGAACACAGAACAACCAACACGATACGATGAAATACAGCTGTACAACACATAAGGAAGTAGAAATGGGGAAAACGGGGTTGTAACTCATGAAACGACCGGCCGAGTCGTTACACGTACCCTACATTATCCCAATTATAAAATGTCAAACATGAGAGTACAGGACCAACTATACATAAAAATTTAAGTCAATAAATATACTGTACTTATAAAAACAATTTAAGTTGAGAACAGTAATTTTAGTGATATTCGTAATATAACTTATCCATAATCGGAACTTATCCATAATGTAACTATTTTACTACTTCTAGAGTTACTCGAAATACTGTACAAATTAAAGTATGCCCCTTAAATATTACTGGCATCTACATTTGAACATTACTAGTCTATTGGTACTCGTGTTACGCGTGTATCCAACCTCAATGAGTATAAATTTTATAAAGTTAAATAAATAAATATTAAATTTATGTTTGAATTATTTTTAAAAAAAAACTAAAAACATTTATGTAAGTTCAAGAAAATGATTATTGTTAATCTTATTTAACTGCACGATAAAGAAAGAAATTATGTCTTATAGAACTATTCAATCATCTCAGTCAAACAAATTAAGTTTACCTTTTAAGTAGATATATTCCATCAAACTCTAATGTCTTCCATGTTAATTCCACAGAATTTTAATTTCTTTCAAGTCTAAATTTCACTGATATGAATATAGCTAAAATCCATATCACAGTCTCAAAAAAGACTATAAAAAGGTGTTGCACATTTCTTGTTTCAAAATTATTAAGCGTCATCACTTAATTGGGAAGATATAAACAGTACCTAAACCTTGAAACTTCTTTAGTACCTCTTTTGGATTTTCTCGACGCTTATAACATCTTTGAAAAAAAAAATGACTTGAATGTAAAGTTTCAAAAAGTTAAATGCCCAATTTTTTGTTATATTTAACTTTACCAATAGGCAACAATGGTGAAAGGTCTAAAATTATATGATGAAGCATCCGCCACCTTAGTGAATATTTAACAAACTACAATCCAATCTTTATAGATATTCTTATCCGCAAATACAACAAATTTACATAAATAAATATGAATAAATAACATATTTTACTCCAGCAATGTCAAGTTCATTGGTTAACTTTCAGGCGATCAAATATTTTTTTTCTCATAAGGTGTAAAGATACTATTTGAAGCTCTACATGAAAACTATTAAGCACCTATCCAATAAGTTAGGGGACTATAAAATGTATAATAGAATACACAAAATTGATAACTAAACATATAAATCTGTATCCGATATTAATCATAACAATAACAAGTTCATACTAAGCCATCAAATAATCAACTACAGTTAAAGAGGGACACAAAAATTAATCAAACAAAACTATAGAAGAAAAGCAAACTATAAACTAATCCTACAAAAGAATAATGAAAAGAATAGTTCTAGCCATAGAAATACCTCAATGATATCTTAATGAAGACAGTTGAAAAGGATAAACTTACAACAAATATAATTCTTATTTTATTTTGCATGTTTATATTAGGAATAGGAGAGTCAGGCTTAAATGCATAGGACGGCGTAATTTCATACATTTATTGTTCATACTTGTATTATTTTTAACTAATAAATTAATTCCTAATCTAATTTAGTCTAAATCGATTAAAACATTAAGAAACAAAATAGAAAAGGAAATATATGGAAACTTGTGAAGAAGCAGTATTTCTCACTACATTTCGTGTTTAATAAAGCCTTCTATAAGAAATACAAACATGTTACATCATGTAGTCTAAATAAGGAAGGATTTTAAAACACAAAATTTAGTTGATTTTTAAGTCCTAAATATTAGGAAAATAATTAAATATTATCCATAAATATTAGTTAAATAACTAAATGACTATTTTGTCTAGTGTTAAAGTAATTTGTTAAAAGCTTAGAAGCTCGACAATGGAGTATCTACGAAGAGAGAAGCGAGATGAAGAATAGAGAGAGAATATTCTGGAATCTGAAAACTCTATATTATTCTTTATCGACTAGCTTGTACACTGTACACTTATATATACAAAGTATAATGCACTTGCCTAATCCAACTAACTCCAGCTGTATATATGCCAGCTGTACACCTTTAATTATATCTACTAATCTAACTGTCTAACTAACTATCAGCTGAACTACCCTCAATACTCCCCCTCAAGCTATGTGGTGAGAACAGATTGAACACCCCTAGCCTTGATAACAAGAACTCATGCTGTGTACGACCAAGTCCCTTGGTCAGTATATCTGCCAGTTGTAGGCCTGACCTGATATGCGTTGTTTCCACCAATCCTTCCTGAATTTTTTCCCTTACAAAATGACAATTGATTTCTATATGCTTCGTTCGTTCATGGTAAATTGGATTTGCTACAATTTGAAGCGCAACCTTACTATCACAGAACAACTTGACTGGAAGTTTTAGTTGCAGATTCAGTTCTCCAAATAGTCCCACCAGCCAAACAACCACTGCTATGGCAGTCCCCATGCTCCTATACTCAGCTTCAGCTGAGCTTTTGGATATGGTGCTCTGCTTCTTAAACTTCCAAGAAATTAGAGAGTCTCCAAGTTTTACAACAAAACCACTGACTGATTTCCTTGTCATGGGGCAAGCGGCCCAATCAACATCATAGTAAACAGTTAACTCATTGGAAACATTGGAAGACAACAATATCTCTAGTCCTGGAGTATTTTTCAAATACTTCACTACTTTTAATGTTGCCTCCATATGTGATCTCTTTGGCACATGCATAAATTGACTTAGGTTCTGTACTGCATATACTATATCAGGCCTAGTCATTGTGAGATAGAGAAGTTTGCCAACTAGCTTCTGATAACTAGTTGCATCTTCTAGCACTTCATCTGCTATTGATGTACCTGCTGCAATCCCTTTGTAATAGTCAACACTTGTTAGCCTCTGATTCACTTCCAATGGTGTACTAACAGGTTTAGAACCTGCCAATCCAAGTGCTGATATTAAATCCAGTGTGAACTTCCTTTGACACACAGAAATACCATCTTTGCTCCAAACTATTTCAAGACCAAGGAAGTACTTCAATTCCCCCAGGTCCTTGATCTTGAAATGATGCTTCAATAAATCTTTAGCTTCCTGAATGAGGCTGGCAGAAGATCCTGTAATCAAGAGATCATCCACATAGACAAGAATGAGCACAATATGGTGAGCAACCTTCTTAGTAAAAAGGGAATAATCATGGCGACTCTAAAGAAAGACAGAGCTCAACAAAGCATCAGACAATTTCAGATTCCATTGGCGAGAAGCTTGTTTCAAGCCATACAAAGACTTTTGCAACTTGCAAACTTTGGACGGCTCCCCCTTACTAGCAAAACCAGGAGGTTGTACCATGTAAACATCCTCAACCAGGTCCCCTTGTAGAAAAGCATTAAAAACATCCATTTGGTGTAGATGCCAACCATTCATGGCAGCATGGACAAGATAGCTCGAACTGTGACCATCTTAACCACCGGAGAAAATGTCTCCTGATAATCCAAGCCTTTTTGTTGAGTATACCCTTTAGCCACTAATCTAGCCTTGTATTTCTCCACCTCACCTTGGGCATTATATTTCACTTTATATACCCATTTTCAACCAATAGCCCTCTTCCCAGCAGGCAACTCCACAAGGGACCAAGTATTGTTATCCATAAGTGCCTAAATCTCCTGATTCATGGAAGTCACCAAATGTGCATCATGCACAGCTTCAACATAAGTCTAAGATTCTGGGATAGTTGAGTAATTGCATATGGAATCAAGATATGAGGCAGAGAGAGAGGGGTATATGACATATAGTCAAAGATAGGGTACAAGCAAGATGTTGTGGTGTGATCACTTGGCAGAGGATCGTGCACAAAATCATTCAACCAACCAGGGGGTCTAAAGTGCCTAGCAGATCTCCTAGGCTGCTGAGGAGAACCTGCGTGAGAAACAACTGGAGTCCCTGCCACAGAATTCTCTGTATGTTGTGGGGAAGTTATGTGGCCCTAGGTGATAGTAGGGATGTTGCCTTCAGTGTTCACCAACAATTCTGCATGAACTAGTTGTTCTAGACTTGGTTTTGAACATGGTTCTGTGCAAGTTGTTTGGCTAAGACCATCAGAAGCAATATAAGGACAGTAAGATGACACCTTGGTACCTATTACTGAATGAGGAGACATGAAACGAAAAACATTCTCCTTAAACACTACATCTCTACTAACAAAAAAAGTTTTATATGTGAGACCGTAGAGTTTATAGTCCTTTTGTGTGCTAGAATACCACATATGGACTGCTGCTTCAGCTCTAGGGCTGAATTTGTCACCTTTGGGACCAGTAACAGTGGCATAACAAAGGCTACCAATGACCCTCAAGTGTTTTAGATTAGGTTTTCTCCCATAAAACACTTCAAATGGTGACTTCCCATTTAAAATAGAAGATGGTATCCTATAATCAAGTATGCTGCATTAAGAGCACACAACCCCCAAAATCGCAATGGTATGCCAGCCTGAAATCTAAGGGCCCTTGCTACCTCAAGAATTTGCCTATGTTTCCCTTCAACCACCCCACTTTGTTGGGGTGTATGGACACAAGAGCTTTGATGCACAATCCCTGCATTGCGAAATAAGGCATTGCATTGTGAGTTAAAAAACTCAGTACCATTGTCACTTCGGAAAATTTTTACTATTTTATTGAACTGAGTATGTACAAGTGACAGAAATTCCTTGAGAACTGTGCTGACATCACTCTTCAAATGCAAAAGAAACAACCAAACTATCCTACTACAATCATCCACCAATGTGAGAAAATACCTATGGCCATCAAATGTGGGACTCTATAAGGTCCCCAAACATCTGCATGTACCAAGTCAAAAGGTGTACTAGATCTGCTATGACTTGTAGGAAAATGAGCCTTTGTTTGTTTAGCTAAAGGGCATATAGAACAAGACATAATGTTTTTATTCAAGCTAGATTGTACTAAGGAAAGTTGTTGCAACACTTTTCCAGGCACATGGCCTAGTCTTCTGTGCCAAAGTTCTTCTTCATCCTTTGTACTCAAAGCTACTGAATGTACTGCTGGAACTGGTTCTTCACTCTTGGGATCCCAGTAGTACAATTCACCTTCCAATCTACCAATCCCCTTCACCTTCCCAGTGTGAAGGTCCTGCATTAAACAGAAGTTAGGATAGAAAGCCATAAAGTATCTTAATTCTCTGGTTAACTTTGATACAGATAGCAAATTGAACTTGAAGTCTAGAACACACAACACATTGTGAATATCCCCCTGCATCAGTTTAGAATTTCCTACATGCGTAATAGGTATCTTACTCCCATTAGGTAAAAGAACCCTCTGATTCTCCTTCCGAGAAATAGTAGATAACATGCTGCTATCTGCAACCATATGATTTGTGGCACCACTATCTACAATCCATTCAGTCTGCTTATCACATGCAAGGAAAGAAGTGGCAATACCTACTGCATTGGCTGCTACTTCATTGTTGTTATCCTTGTTGAGTAGTTTTAGGATTTGATTGTATTGCTCCTGGGAGAAAAACATAAACATAGCCCTTGCATTATGTGCTCCTCCTGCATCAAGTGGTCCTTGACTAAACATAGTATTGTTTATCATTCCTTGACTATGAGCCTGAGATGTTGAACCTTGGCAATGATCAACATTAGAGAAACTCTGCCTGTGACCTCTCGGAGTAAAACCATAGCCGTTATCAACAACATTGTACCCTTGAAAATGACATCCAGTGAAGCTCTGATTTGGAGTCATATTTATGTGTTGATCCTGTGTCCTACCAAAGGTTGTGGCATTAGCCGCTATCCCTGTCTTCTTTCTGCCCTTGATGTCCGGAGGATATCCAACAAGTTGATAGCAATTTTCTTTACTATGACCTTTCATCTTGCAATATTCGCATTGCATATTGAAATTTCTCTTAGGTTTCTGCCGGGTTCCTTTGGTACCCCATAGTAATGTCATTTCCTTCTGTAATTGAACTAATCCCACCATTCAGAGTCAATTGGCTTTCACTCTCAATAATCATGGCATATGTCTGATTTAGTGTAGGCTTAACTGTTTTCATGAGAATTTGACGTTGTGCTTGGTCATAGGAATCATTTAAACCAATGAGAAACTGAAGCAAACACTATTGAAGGAAATGCTCAACATTCTCTTTGGACTTAGCACATCCACAATTTGGTGAAGGAACCATGGCATCATATTCTACCCATAGTTCCTTTAACTTTGTGAAATATAGCGAAACAGAGTCTCTACCTTGAGAAATTGTCGCAATTTCGCGATGCGACTGGAAAATGCGTACTCTATTAACCTTGTCGAGTCGCTCTCGCAGATCTTCCCACACTAAATGTGCATCAGAGGTATAGACTATTCCACTGAGAAGATGCGGTGCAACTGTGTTCATGATCCATGAGAGTACTATCGCATTGCAAGTCTCCCAATGTTCATGATATTCATCCTTGAATGACTCCTTCCTACATGTCCCAGTGACAAAGCCTAACTTGCGTTTGGTTTGTAGTGCTATACGTATC